TTTTCAACAAATCAGAACTCGAAATCATTACTTTCGATCGAAATGGCGTCAAAAACAAAGTTGTAGGCAAAAATAACTCCTTATCAGGAAAAATATGGTTTTTTGGTAAAAAATCGAAAAATTTGATATTAACTTAAATAACAAAAACTTACCCGTTTTAATGTTTTAAATAACATTTTATTAAAAAGGATGTTGGATACTAAAAAATCATACAATAAAAACTATTGATAATATTTTTGAACTTTTTGTTTAAACACATTGCACAGAAAATCTTTCAAAATCGTTTAATGTGCAAACATTTCCAAAAGAATTTACAAGCAAAACGTTGGTATATTTGAGTCAAAGTTGTTGTTCTACCATTTTGGTTAAATTTTAGATTTGAAAAGTTCACAGTTAGTTAGGATTTTTTATTAGATTTAGGTTATTTTTTAACACTTTAGTTTTAAACACTTTTTATGATTTTTTAAACTCTTCATTCCTTAGCATTTTGTGTTGCGTTTTTTTTCCTGTAAAGGAGTTGTGTTATCCTACAACTTTGTCTCAGGCGTCATTTCGAATGGAAGTGACGTTTTCGAGTTATAATTTCTTAAAAACTGCCGAATTAGATCTACATCAAAATTTACTGTCAAGGCAATAAAAACGAAACTGCAACAACATTTTCAATTATTGATTTGTTGTAAAAAGACAGCATTGAGAACACTCAATGCTGTCTTTTTACAACAAATCAATAATTGAAAATGTTGTTGCAGTTTCGTTTTTATTGCCTTGACAGAACATCAAATTGAATACTCGTTTTGTTATTTGATGTTACAGGATGTTTTTTAGCTCTCAATTGTGATATTTTCACAACAGCAGTCTGACCAATCATTATTAGCTACATCTTAACATCAAATTTAGTTTTCAACCCATAGAAGTAATGTTCTCAACTCAAAGGACTGCTATTTTTGAAAATGTTGAAATCATAAGATTTTAGGGGAGAGTGGGGTTAACTTAAAATGGGGTTAAGATGTTTCTTTGTAGAGTCTATTTTTCCATCACACCTCAAAATTTCAAAAGCACATAACTCAAGATCTACGGGGTTTATAAATCTGAAAATTTCAAACATTGCTTGCTTCACCACAGCAAACAAAAAGTAGTAGTTTCAGCTACGTGCATTCACAGTAACCTTATTATTTTTAAATGTGAAATTGCGAAGTGTAACACGAAAAAGGACGCTACAGGGAATCACCTTAACTTAAAATGGTGTGTGGTACATTTTTTCCCGCTACAATAACCATTGCTAAACCGTATGAAAATCATCCGAAACCCGTCTTTCAAAAAGTATAGTGTAGTAAATTAAAAAATCCGTAGATCAATGGATAAATCAATATTTTCTATTTTGAAGCACATCTACGGAAATTAATTGAGATCTTTCCATGCCAACCAATGTCTATGACATGTTATGACAGGGAAGTCAAGAAAATTTCCTAACCAAATTATTTTCTATACCGGTATTTGAGGTATCCTCGATGGAGGTTCCAGACGTTCCCGATTTGGATTCAAGGCTTTCCCAACGGAGATTCCTGACATTTCCGAAGTTTATTCGATACGTTCTCGGCTGGTATGGTACTTCAAACGGTCCAGAAGTGTTTCCGGGTATTCTCGATGAAGGTTCCAGACGTTCCCAGTGAGGATTCCAGCCGTTCCCCACCAGAATTCTAGACGTTCCCGATGAAGATCTCAGAAGTTCGCTGCGGTGGTTCGTTTTCCACTTGGATTCTAGACAATTCTAACGGGGATTGCAAATATTTTTTACGGATATTCCAGACGTTCCTGACTTGGATTGGTTCCAGACGTTCCCTACGGGGATTACAGACGTTTCTAATGAAGATTCTTGCATTTTAAATGATCTCAACGGGTGCCCCAGATGATCCTGATTCATTAATACAGGTTCTTGTGTAAAATCAACTGCATTTTTCACAGAATTTTCAAGGCGTCCGCAGAGTTTTCCTGAAGCTCAAAGAAATACATGGAAATCGACTGGATGTGGTACTATTTAGACATAACCTGCTTCACAGGAACTATGCGACGACTGATGTGTTAATGCTAATTTAATGTTTTAAAAACATCATTGCAATTGATGCTGTAACTAATGTTGTGATGTGTTGTAAACCTAACTTTAGGTGTTCAATTGACAGTGGTCAATTCTAGGGTCAATTGAAGCATCATTGGTGCTAAAATTAGCCTGGTGGTGTAAATGGCAGTGTTTTTATGGAAGAAAACTGTTTGCAATATCATCTATTATTATCTTATACTGATCCCATTGCAAACAATTTTAGCCCGGAAGTTGAAAGTTGATAGCTCTGTTAAAATTCAGTAACCCATTTCAGAATGCCTGGTCACTCACGTCGATTCCGAGGTTACTTTTACTTACAACAAGCCCCGCATACACGTAGTACCGGTATAAAATGTATATTGGTACTGCGTGTACACTTCCATCATCAAAGCAATTCCTGCTCTGTAGATGGTACGTAGGGGAATTTACGTATTCTCGGCAACCTAAGCAGCCACCTTCTTTCTATAGCCCTTTTCTCTAAGGAACGCACACATATGCAGTATTGGTTTGTTTACAATCTTTTGCTGCCAGCTGCTCTAACAAGTTCAGTCGAAAGAATTGTCAAAAACTGTTTTGAAACGCTTTTGCAAAGCTCCAATCTTCTCTAGTGAGAGCGAGTATTGTCGGCAACCAATTTTTCTTCGGCAACCGTTCCATTTGAACTGCATGTAAATGCTGTTCTATTATCGGCAACTTGAAAACAGCTACAATTTGTAGTGCGTGTGTTGCATTTCAAGAAAACCTTGCTAGATTGCTTTTTCTCACTGGTAAAAATATATTCAAATTGAAGCTGAAAGCATAAAGAATCGTTTGTTTGCATTCAGCGAAGTGTTTTCGTAAGAAAATCCAGTGAAAATAGTGTTTCAATTTGGGTTGCCGAAAATAGTCTGTCATGCCGAAACCGTCATTTCCCCTATTTAGTAGGATGCATTTCATATTTTTATATCTAGTTGTAATCAGCTAGATCTCATCGCTTATGTATTGTGTCCTTGGTGCTGAATCTTTGTCATCTCGATTCTCGTTGAGTCCTGTTGAATAATCGGCATCTGTAGTGGAATACTCTTCTCTCTCTTTCTCTATCATTTTTCGATGTTTTTCGTATCTCTTCTACTTCCAGATTCAAAAACATGAAGTTTTCAAATCCAGTGCGTATTTATTAATAGTGAAACAGCATTTTTGATAAACTTATACTTAGATTGATCTCACCAAACATTCCGCCACCTGTAAATCAGGTAATTTCACAAGCACACTAACACAGTACTACACAACCCGTCAAACTTTCCTTCGAATCGTGCACTAAAGTCAGTTTTAAAACATCTTAATATCTTTTTTTTTTAAAAGGCACAACATTAAAATTAAAATAACACCAAGTGATAATAGCGAGAGATAAAAGCTACTGAAAAAAAAACAAATCCACTCGCAAGCAAAGCACACTTGGAAGTTTTTTTTTTGATCAGAAGTATCCTAGTTTAACCTGCAAAACTATCTTTCCCGGTTATTGATCGAGGGGCAGAACGCCAACACGCGTAAAACCGAACACGCGAAAAGAAAAACCCACCGAAGCACAAACCATGGTTTTCGGGAACGGATTTTTTTCCGAGCAGCTAGCACGACGCTACAGCAACAATTCTATTTGTACCAAGTTCTTGTCCGGGAGTTTTCACAATATTGTTCAGAATCTTCATTTATTCACATTAATGAAAACGAATTTCTTTTTGCATTGGTACCAGCCAAAAAGCACGCGAAAAACACAAAATTTGTGACAGCGAATTTAAAACCAACCGTTCTCGGGCACAGCCTATTGCGCACTCTACACAGTAAGTGTTTTTTCATCGTCAAAAATCAATATGCCACTTGGTGAATGTAACCCATGTAACCCGTACTATGAACAACATGTTTTATATTAGATTATGTTAAGAGTTGACAGCTCAAAATCTACGAAAAGCGCATTGTCTCATTCCCGGCATGCTAACTCAAATATACAAAGCTTCACTGGCATAAACAGGGAATGAATGCAAAAAAAAAAATTCCTTTTCAGATCGTCGTTCGACAACATTTGGTACATCGCGCATTGAGGTTTTGAGAATTTTCGCTTCTCGTGGATCGATTTCTAATGAATCTAAAATAATGACGATCACAAATTGCAAGATAAAAAATACCGCTCTATTTTCTCTATACAAACCCATTGTGTGGGGTTGTTCATGAATCACGTAGACTGTTTTCAATAGGTTTCAGATGCCCCGCCCCCCTCATACTGCGTAGACTATCGTCCATGCACATTTTTGGAAATTTGTATGGACCGTACACTCGCTCTCCCCTCCCTTAAAGTGTCTACGTGGTTTATGAATAGACCCTGTCCGTTTGACATCAGCAAGAAGACGGAGAATGGTTTCATTCTTTACCAAGTCTTCATGCCTTCGAGCACATCGGATAGCCAACTGTTAGAGAAGCACGCGAGGGGGTGCAGGAAACTCGTTTACGTTCACTCATTCGAGATTTGGCTTATCGTGTTTTCCGAATCACTACTGGTCGTGTGATTGCAATAAATCATTGAATTTTGACCTTTGAGTTACGATGAAATGTATCCGTGTAACGTGTCTCGTCGTCGGTCGATCCAAACAAAGAAAGTTGAATGAATTCGAAAAGTCGGAAGGAAAGCGAAACACGATTCTTGTACAAATTGGACAAATGGATGCTGGGAGTGGGATTATTTTGCCGCACTTTTCATCGGAATTTCTTGACAGCAGGATGCAGTAGAATCTATAGCACGAGTAATTGTTGAATATTGAGAAAGGAAATCGATCGGAATATTCTACGTAGATAACAGTATTTACTTTTGTGAAACCAATTTGTCATCATCCAATTTCTCGTACCATCAAACCCATAGTTTCGCTAGTTCTCTTACCGTATTGCATGGTTCTCACGATTTCCAAACTTCGCACCGGTTCACTAGTTGGAAGAGCATCAATTTCCTCAATGACGACCGAGGAAACCTTCTTGTTCGAGTCAGCTGATTCTGCGTTCACTGTTTTTATGATTTTACCATGGTCTGCAAACGAAGCCAGAAAGTTTCAATTAAATTTACCGCCAACACCTCGAGCTATATGCGTTTAGCACTTACCTGTACCGACGAAAATCACATCATACGTTTTCCCACCGGGAGTTTTAATTTGCGGATCAACGGCAATGGCAGTGAATCGATAGCTGTTTGCGAGGAAAAGTCAACCCCGTTTGAATGAGGGGCAAAAGAGGAACAGGAATTAGTACGCTTACGCTTGACAAGGTGCGAATCGCATAAATTATGCGCATTTCATAGCCGACCGCAAGATTTAATTAATCTCGTCAAATTAGCATACACCGAGAAGGTGTGCAAAATTAACTAACTGACTGTGAAAAAAAGCGGAACATTATACTTACACCGAGCTGACTCGGGTCAAAATCGGCGAACCGAAAAATGTTGGCACATTTTCATCCATCAGTGAGTGCGTCTTTTTGAAGTTGAGTGTTAAATCCGGCAGTGTTCGCGAATCGTTGTGGCATGAGCCGGGGCGTGGATCCGGAACCTGTTAGGTTTGAGGAAGAAAGAGAAAGAGAAAGAGAGAGAGAGAGAGAAAATTAGTGCATGGCAGTTACGTGAGATTGTGCGGTAGGGAAACGCTACGTAGAGCAGAAAATACACATATGAGATGTTGGGAAAGTTCTGGAAAACATGTTTTATATGTTCTTATGGTATGACAAGTTTACCTTTTTATCCAAGAGATATTTTGATTTTGTGATGTAGGTATATTTTTTTAAAAAATATAATCAGATATTTTAAACTTGAAGAGCAAAAAGAAAAAAATAATCGAGACCTGAAACTGATCTGGGACTGAGAAAAAATCAATTCATCAATATATGTCTAAGTCAGAAAAAAGCATTAGTTAAAAAAAAAAGATTTCGGACTTTGGAAACTGCATATAAAGAACCAAAATAAGAACTGAAGCTGCAACAATTATCAAGATCTAGGAAAGAAAATACCCGCATAGAAAAAAAAAAAACATTTTGTGAACAGCTCAAACTTTACCCCCACCTTACTAGCTAGGTTATCTTTGTACAAACTAGTTCTGTTATGATCAGTGGCATAGTGAGGATTTTGTGCACCTTTGGTAATTTTTGGAAATGATGCCCCTTTCCTAATTCGAATTTAATTACTGAACTTGTTTTTATAGCTTTAAGCTGTGAACTGTACACCAAACCGGAAAATTTAATATTCTGTAACCGATTTGTATGAAACATATGCTGAATTTGTAATTTGACCGCATCAACAGATTATGTAATGAAGTCTTCGGTAGGCTTTTGAAATAATTTTGTTAAATTGATACAAACTAACTTTTAGAAAAAAATTGAGATTCCTCAATGTAATAGAAAATTATTGTCTGAAAGTTCCATTAAAAAAAAAAATATTTTGGTAAAAACTTTCTTGTACGCTACAGCCCTTTGTAAGTTCACGTTAGAAACGTATGTAGAGGATGTCAGAAATCCTCATTTACATTTGATCTACTTTTTATGCGTTTTGCGTGTATCAGAAGCTGCTTTAATCAGCTCGCAAATTTTACTCTAAACATGTAATGTTTTTTGATCGATTCTCTTCATATCCTTTTTCTTTTTTCCATGAAACATCAAATTTTCTGCTGGTCATTAGGATATGCCTTTGTTGCCGCGATTTTAAAACTGAAAAAATCAAACGGAGTTCCTTGAGTTTTCCTGGTATCAAAACCAAATTCCAGATCCAAATTTTATACAGGGCAACATTATGTAAAACAATCGAGACAATTATTCCATACAAGCAGTTCATTTAAATTTTGGTTTATTTGACTGCCATAATGAGGTCCCTAGATCTTCCCGAAAACAAATCATCTGCTGTAACATTAATTCATTAATAGATTTGCGAAAATATATTTGGTAGAAACTCACTAGGATCAAATCTCACTTTCAAAAAGAGCAAACCAGTCAACTTCAATGAGTGCTTTTGAAATGAATGTTACAGTGCAGCCAGCTAACTTCACATTCACTTACTCTTGAGATACTGATGTTTAGGAAAAAAAATTATAATTTATCTGGTTACGCAGTCGAGATGTTGCTTATCCCGTGACTCTTTAATTTGATTGTTTGTTCACAAGTAAGTTGGTATAGAGTGTTAGATGGCAAAATGCTTAAAATTATTTTTTAAATAATGCTTTGAAGTGCTTTTTTACTGGTAATGCTACAACTATACCATATTGGCACAGAATAAAGCATGGCTGAACTAAAAACTTGATTAAATATTAGAAGTTTCATTCAAAGTGTTTTTTATGTTACTTCATACGCGAAGTTAACGATTTTCAGAGTTGGTTGGAAATGCTAACATGAAGCTTTAGTGTGATGATTTATTAGCTAGAGAATGATCTTTAGAAGAGGGTAGGTGGATAGTTCCGTTAGAGTACGGCAGTATGAAAATTGAATAGAAGTTGAAAATGAGCGAAGGGCCATTAAAGCGACAGTTTACAAGATAGACGCACATTTTTGCCTAGCCCGTACGATGTACGCGGGGACTTGAAGTATGTCTCCAAGTCCACAGGCAAAAATGTGCGTCCCTCTTGTTGCTCATAAACTGACTGCGGCTGTGGAATAGTTCTAGCGACGTTTTCATCACTACCTAAAGCCCCACGTTTGCGAGAGCATTTCCAGTCGATGGTGTGTTATAATGCAGTTCTTCTTTACCCAACTATTGTGTTGCTCCTCTCGTCATGACCAACGTGATCATCTCAGAGAGAAAGCAGTAGGGTGGTTGTTGAAGTTTATTCTTCAGACAGAGTTTTGATATTCGGTTTATAACAGGATTTTATATATTTGTTACATTTGGCTTGAATGTCCTTAATGTGGCATTTAAAAGTTATTTTTTAGTCAAGTACTAGTATTTCACTTGGTTTGACCAGGAAATTAGAACTCCGTTGATAGTGACCATGTAACTACTATTAGGTTTCAAAAAAGAAGCTCTAGGCGGTCTTTTAATGATGTTTGTAACGAATCTGATTTTACTATGTCCAAATATGTGTATAGTAATAGAATAAGAGGTTTAGATTAAACAAGTTTTAGTTTTAAGTAATTAGTCTTCCCGAGTGAAAATATTCAGATAATCCAGAACAAACTAATTCTCAATAGGACTAGTAAGTCCCAAACTAAAATTATGGGAACTGCTTAGCAAGTTTTTGAGCTTTTCAAAATTTGGGATCAATATTTTACCACCTTCTTGTAGTGCTGGAATATGCAATTGAGGTTTTTTCAAAAATTTTATACGGATCAAGAGCTAATGATCGTCGTCTTATAATTGAATCGAATTTAACCTCGCATTTTGGTACTGAGGCAGCTCTCACTTCAACTATAGAATTTGTCAGAGATTCAAGAGCATAATATCAATTTTGGTTTGCAAAGGAATATTTATATACCATAAATATTCGATATTGCTCCCAATCAACTGAGGGATTTCTTCCTGAAGAAAAGTATGTTGGGCTGTTTTGATAACGTATAGTGAAATAACCCCCAGAACAGTCATCAAATAATATATTGCCATTGGAATTGCTTTGAGCATGATTCCATAAGCGTTATTTTGCATTAAAATCACCAATAATGAAGAATCTATACCTATGGCGGGTAAGTTCCTGAAGGTTACCCTTTTGCTGTAAACGGAAGTTGTCCAAATATTGATTCGACAGAAGCTCTCAAAGTTTCAAAAACTTTGGTTTCAAATGAAGGAAGAATTTGATGTTTGATACGCCTATGAACAATGATGGAAACGCCACCACCGGCTCCATCATGTCGATAAATTGAATAATTTACGTCCCTTACGTCCCACTTAGAAAAAATCACCGACTTCGGTAATTCATTTACCGAATTCTCAACAGCTGAACGGTCGGTAATGTTTTCGGTAATCGAGAAAATTACCGAAAAATCTGTAAACTGGATCAACAAAATTAGCTGTCAAATTTACCGAACGATCGGTAACGTTTACCGATGTGCATTACTTGATTTGTAGTCGACTTTACCGGAGAACTGTAATTTTGAGGACGATATGTAAATCAAAAATTACCGAGAGATTGTAATTTTTAAAAACGTCACCGACTCAACTATAATTTGCTTTAATATTGTTTCAACCCATGCAAAAATTTGGCTGCAGTCGTGATCAATAAGTTAATGTTGCAAATTGCACCACCAATGAACAAAACCGTTGGCGACGATCTGAAAATTTAAGTTTTTGTCGGAAAGATTCGGTGCTACACTGAAAACAAGGAAACATTGGAAGAAGATTCCAAATGCTGTTTTCAGATAGTCGCAAACGGGAATGGAACTTGGACCGACAGAGAAAAAAAAACAAGCAACAACATCGGCCATCTGTAATCGGTATTTATTTAGATAACGAAAATTAATTATTTACGGAAAATATCTACGATTCGCTCATCTTAGCGTTGCCGAGGACGTTGCATAACAACCTCCATAATTTCACCTTTTATATTTTTCACAAGCACGAACGCTTTTAATGTCGATCGAAAATAACAATATGGTGGATTTGACGTTTACCCAGACCGTTACCGAACTCAGTAATGGAACGCTTTGATTACCGAAACTTCAGTAAAATATTTCACCGAAGTCAGTGATGAAGCTGATTTACAGACCTGCCGGTAAAAATGTTTACCGTTTTCGGTAAATTAAAATAAAATTACCGAAATTCGGTCATTTCATTTACAGTTTTCAGCAATAAAGCGAGAAAATACCGAAACATCTGTAATCTTCAGCATTACCGATCTAAGACGGTAATTTTTTTACCGAACTCAGGGTCTCTGTTTAAGTGTGTATGGTAAGGTTTAAGGAACATTTTAGTTATATGCACTTATGAACTATCAAAAAGTTAAATAGCTCGTCTTGATTCCTATTCAAAATATTTAATGATTTAAAATCAATTATCTTGCGTGAAGTCCAAAAAGGATTGAATGAAATAAAAATTATTTTTTCCCTAAATCGATTTCCAAGCAGAATAAGAATCCGAAGGATCGAGTGGAATTTTCCAAGTTGATAACCTAGCAGGATTACCTCAGGTAGGGTCTAAACAAGGGTGAAGAGAATTAAGAGTCAAACAAGGTAGAAAGGTAGTATTGAATACTGAAAGTGCTGTTTAAATTGGTTGTAGTTTAGGTAGAAGTAACACTTCCTTCAGTAAAAAAGCAAATAGATCTTCACGGCAGACGTAGACTGTATGGTGTCTTCTTATTTTTCTTTATTGTTGATAACGACTTGAACATTGTTAAATCACCATGTTTTTCATTGCGTTGATTTTGCTATTGTTTATTTGTCGTTAATCAAGTAAAGACTAGTACTACGAATAATAAATACATTTTGCGTCTCATTTCTATGAACATGATGATAAAAAAATGAACATTAGAACATTTTTCCATTCATTATCAAGGATTTCTAGAAGGAAAACCACGAAAGCCTTTATAAATCTTGAGATAAAAATATGTCTGCTCGAAAACATAAAATCGCTTTTTACGCGGTTTTTTCTTACACGGTCTTTTTTTACTCGGTTTTTTTTTACGCGGATTTCGGAATTTACGCGGTTTTTTTTTACGCGGATTCCGGAATTTACGCGGTTTTTTTTTACGCGGTTTTTTTTTTACGCGGGACGTATCACCCGCGTAAAAAGCGACTCCAGTGTATAGAATTTTGATAAAAAAAAAATCCTGGAAACAAATTTAATTTTTTCCACGTACCCCGGAACTAATAAAGATGCACTTCCAGAGGTACGCGTAGTAAATTAGTAAGTACTACTCTGAACTAATTACTTAGTGCTGATATGTTTTGAAAGTCTGGGCTAGTGCTGTTAATTTTCATATCATTCGATTGAAGATGAACCAATACAACCATTCACTCAATTCTGTGAAAAGAATGCTCACATGACCATAATTTGAAGAGCCCCTTTCTTCTTCGAAGCTCATCGTCACTGTCAATTGAGTCACTCACTATCATTTGATATACGACAGCGGAGTATGGAAGAAACCCAGCAAAATGGTACCGAACAGAAAAGTCCGATGTCGTGATTCGATTCGATGTAAGGCAAATTTAAGGTCGATGTCGACCCAATGTCGTATTTTTGTCGGGTCAATTTTGGGTTTATGTCGGGTCAACATCGGGTTGGGGTTTGGTAGAAGTCAGGTTGGTGTCGGGTTGGCTTAGCTTTTTCGCCGGAATGTCGACCAGAGCTCGGTTTTTGTGTAGGTTACACTCTGTTGAATGATATCAATCGTTTCTCAAATGAGAATGATCTATGCCTTCGTCAAATGACTAAGCAACTGATATCACCCATTCGAAGGAGGTAACTTTTGAAAGCGGATAGCTGCTTTTCATTTTCATCAAAAATGATCAATTGATTTTGAGAATTTGCTGCACTGGTCTGGGCCACTCTTAGCACACTCGGTAAAGGCGCAGCTATAAAGCGTACCGGTCTAAGAATTTATCGGGGTTAAAAATTTCTCGACTTTCCTGGGTGTGCAGTACTAAAATACAGCAATTGCCACACAATAATACTAATGCACAAATGGTACAGGTAGAGAAATCTCTTAGTTAACAACCGAGGGAATGCTCAAAGAACACTAAGTTAAGAGCTGATGCAAATTCCCAGTGAGGACGCAATAAAGCCAAAGAAGAAGAAGCATACTGTTTTGAAAGTAACATTACAAATGGGTTGTCACTTGCATAACCCAAGCAACAGTTTTTGTTTTATAGAAGTTTTATAACAGTTGATATAACCAAATTATAAAACCTTCACTGACGACCACAACAACCTCCTGACAACCGCTGTACAGCCACACAGCTAAAAAAAAGTAGTGTAAATTTCCGTTACTATGATGCACATAAATGGAGCGTCATAAATCATACAAATTTACATTAAAAATCGTGTAAATTTATGAGACATGTCATGCAATATTCCATATATTGTATGCAACTTTCCACCTTTGTTTGCAACATTTCTTGCAAGCTGCTAGTTTACGCGAAAAGGAAGTTTCCATGCATGAATGTTTGCATGGATGTTTACATCACCAGTAAAATTTAGATTTTTTTAGTGTGCATGTCATGGCCAATTGGCCCATTAAAATCATTAAAACTTGATATGCGAACTACCTCAGGAGCATAGGTTTTATGTCAGTTTTATCACACTCTACACGTGGTTGTTAAAAATGAAAGCATAAAACCCCCTCCGTAGTTTTAACAGCCTTTTGATGACTACCATAAAACTATATTACAACCGCATAAATCGCTCCTGAAGAAGTTGATAAAACATGATACGCAAAACATTTTGACGGCCTTGAAGGTTTTAAGTTGGTTTTTTGGATGATAGTTAATATTGAGAAATATTTTATTGTGGTTTTATTCTTTCGATGTTGATATGAAATCATGATCCTTGTCAGTTGGTAATAATAGCTGATATTATTGTTTATTGAAGATAAGACGACTTTATTACAATTTTTAACCAATCTGTATACTGCCGTTATACGCATAAGAGTCCCACGGTGCATAAGGATTGCATAGAACATGGGACAGTTATGCGTAGAACGGCAGTATATGCCGTGCAATATTTATGGTGATTATTATACCAAATAGGAGCATAAATTCAGTGCGCCATATGAATACTAAAATATAGAGATATATTTTATTTATCTGCATTAGCACCATGCATTAAAGAGTAATTAAAAGATTATCTATTTAGTACAAAACTGTTACTACTGTTGAGCAATAACCAGTCACATATTATTTAATTATACATAGATGTATGAAAGTGTTTTATCGCCTATCAATTAAAGCGTAATTATTCATACTGTGTGAAATTTGTTCCTAAGGCGAATTTTTTTTCATTACAACTTGCTACTCCTTAAAAATACCTCAATATAACATATTCTCCTAGATTGGAATTCTATAGCATAACATAAACCTAATGGTTGTATCTTAGTTAAGTTATAGTTAAGCTCTATAACTAGCTTGCTGGTTTTATTAGGTACAGCGAATCAAAACAAAACAAAAAGCTTTTTCAATACAAGGTTTAAAGCCGTGATGCCAGTACTGGCCATTTCCAATACTGGCCAGATTTAGTGAAACTGTCTGCGTTGTTTTAAGAAGGGTTCGTGGATCTTTCGGAAGTGTATCGGAAAGCCGCTTGTTCAATATTTTTAAGAGCTCCTTATGTTATATGAGGGAGCCCATAGCTGTAGATCCTCCAGGAGTTTCATATTGGCGATCAGCTCATCTTAATCGTGTTCAAAAGCACTGAAGGGGTTTTATTTCATGTATCTGAATAGATTTGTTTTTTTTTTATATTGGTAACAATTTTCAGAGTATTTTTTGTTATTGTTGTAGTAAATATGTGCATCTTAGGCCTCTGATAAAGATGATAGTTGTAATGAGGCTTTAATGAAGGTCTTAGACTGCTTCAAGATTTATGAAAAGTATGCCATACAACATTATTGTATGTTTTGTTTTGGTTTTATTCTGCAGTTATAAATAGCGATACACAACCACCTTACAGCTATCTATCTATATCTTTAAAGATAAAGATAAAAAAGCTACCGTTAAAACTATGAAGTCTGAGTTTTAATTTAGTAGTCATAAAACAGTTTTATAGACGAATTGACGGCCTGATTTTATGACAAGCACACAAAACCGTAATACAACCACAGGCTGCAAGGGATGCTATGATAAAACAATGATAGAATAAGAATAAATCTTCCAAGCATTTAGATTGTTACTTGGGAACTCTTTATTTTGTAACTGATATCTTGAAAAAAATGATGATAGATTTAGCCACAAAAATCAATTCTCAATCCACGGTCATAGTTGAAGCACACATTTAAAATGTATGAGAGAAATTACTTTTCATCATCGTCGTGATGGCTCAACAATTGTTGGTAAATCTTTTAGAAAATGCCAGCAAGGGGTATGATGCTGAATAGATCCAAGAGTTTCAGATTTGATGCCTTTGATCATTTACATCAAAAGCACCTATTTGTGTGAACGAGCTGAAGTGTTCATAGGATTAAAGTGCTTGCTAGCGCTGCTTGTTGGCAGAACTGAAAAAAATGCTAGGTGGTGGTGGAACGATCTAAATAACGTAAACGAAAGATGAGCGGCATAAAATGTACAAATAAATGACTGGTAGCACGGAGAAACACTTACCTTTGACGGGTTAACAGGTAGCCAATTAGAGTTTAATCCACTTTGCTCCTTGAAGTTACCTTCAAACGTGTCCGCAATATCCTGGATTAACGATAAAGAACAGAAAATGTATCATGAATGAATTTTATTAAATTAATAGAGGCTGCTTGATTTTACCAGTCAGCAAAATCGATTAATTGCATATATTCTAATGCACCCCAGCTATGTTCAATTTATTTACGAGAAAATGATTTTTTGAACATTAAAACGATGAAATACTCCATTAACCTTGGAAAAATGCTCCTTTACAGAGAAGCGGAGCGACGGGCATGCGGCTAAGATTAGGATTAGGTAGGGTTAAGATTATTATTATTTTTTTTATTTGTCGTCAATCAGTAAAATTTTAAAGACCGTTTTAAAATTGTTGCCTTAAGTCGAAGACAACAAATCAAGAAGACTGGCAACGCTTCCGGACCAATCGCGTCATCAACCGCGCAAAGGTAAATGCTTCGAACGATTCTGATAGCAAAGATTATAACCTCAGAAGAAAAGTTTGTGTATTAGCTCATTTTTCTATGCAGTACTTCCACCTTCGCTTGAGCGCAGCGCTACTCTATCTGTCGCTTGGATTCTAGAAGAGTTGCCAGTCTTCTTGATTTGATGTCTTCGTTCAAGTGCTATTTTTAAAATTTTTGTTTTTTTAAATAAATTTTAGTATGTTTTGAGAACAAATAAAAATACTACAAGAAAAAAAGAGTTTTACTGGTGATGAAAACATCCATGCATGCAAACACTCATGCATTTAAACTTTCTTTTCACGTAAACTAGCAGCTTGCAAGAAATGTTGCAAACAAAGGTGGACAGTTGCATACAATATATGAAATATTGCATGACATGTCTCATAAATTTACAGGATCTATATTGTAAACTTGTATGATATATGACGCTCCATTTATGTGCATGATAGTAACGGATATTTACACTACTTTTTTTAAATGCATTTTATTAGAATGCTTTGCAGACCTTACTTACCATGACCAAGGTTGCAAATACGTATTTCAGCTAAAATAATGATTTTCGGAATAATAAAACCAAAAGATGGTATGATGACATGTTTTACTTGTAACTTACAAGAAGAGGTTACAAAGTATGCATTTGAAACATAAAACCTGTAAATTTTGCTTTCTATGAGTCACAATCAGCGATTTGCTGATCGCTGAGTGAGTGAGTGAGTGAGTGTGTGAAAAATTGCTGATTGTGACTCTCATGAAGTGAAATAAACAGATTTAATATGTCAAACACATTCTTTGCAACCTCTTCTTGTATCTTACCAATTCAAAATATGATCATAGCATCTAATTATTTCATAATTAAAAAAAAAGAAAACATTTTTTTATCTGAAATGAGTATTTGCAATCTTGACCATGACTGTATGCATAGGAGATAAAGAAGGGCATAACACAGAAGAATTTTGTCTTATTGTTGGGTTTCCCATTTACAAGCCTACATTGAGTGGCGTTCTTTGCGTTGGAGCCGTCGGAGCGATGGCTACACATTGAGCTTTCGTTATTTCTGGGTGTGTGTCTGTCTTCTCTTCTCCGCTGCTTTACACGTGTGCAGGGTGAAGAGAAGACACTTTGTTTATTTCAGAAAATCAGCACATTGTGCGCATTGAGTGATCAGATGACAGCCCTGCCTGTCATCCATTAAATTATTATCAAAATTCTAAATTTTAATTGTGATGTAAACATTTAATCGCGTAAACTTGTATTTCATTTCACGCAACCGAGCAACTTGCAAACAATGTTGTTTACAAAGATGGGCTTTTGTATACACACATTGAATGTAATGTGTCAGAACTATACATGATATAAAATGTAAACATATATGATATGTAACGCTCCATTTATGTGCATCATATTGAACAGAAATTTACACTACTTTTTCGAACTGTGTAGAGAAGTCGTCAAGTCCTGGATAATGTCGGGTTCTGCCGGATCATTGTCTTCCTCCAAGGGGTGCGTAAATTTCGTACCAAACACGAACTCCTGCATAGACATGCCTCGCATGATGCAGTTGCAACCATTCCGTTAGGCAAGTGCGCTGGAACGGTACGTGGGAATGCATCGCACGCCGGGTAGGGGTTTAAGATACCCCCTCGTTGGAATTTCATTGTGCGTCGATAGTTAACCGGCGGAGGCCTGGAAAACCGATCTTTTGCTGCGCCTTAAACTCTCCATCGGGTGGCAGTATTTTGTTGTTTTTTCGATAATTGTTGTTGTTGTTGCCAAAATTGTTGTTATTCTTGCCAACATTGTTGTTGATGTTATTTTTGCTGTTGTACTTGTAGTTGTTGTTTCTGGGTTTAGTTTGTTATTGTTGTTGTTGTTGTTTTTGTTACGGATGTTGTTGTTACTATTGTTGTAGCCTAGCCTTTGACGCCTTTGACGTGCCATATTCTGCAGCCAATTTTTGCTGACTCAAGCGGCGTGATACACCTTCCGGGTACCAAGAAGTCTCCACCCTGAGTCAGTGGTATCGGCATGATTTGTGTTTTTGATTTTGATTTCCAGGCTGGGACACGAGCTAGCTGACGGAATCAAAGGTACGTTATGAAAATGTACTATATTAGCAAAAATGGACTTCAATTCATCAATAATTTCCAACTGTAACATGAGATTTCTGTGCATTGGCGCACTAGAATTCATGTTCACCGTGAGACTTGAGAGTTGCTTGATTTCTCCTTTCAAACATTTCAAGCCATCCTACATATCCGACGTCATTGTTTGCAATGACGTAGATATAGTCTCTTTAGATGCCTGCATCGCTATATCAAATAGCGATGTTATGTGGTTCTTTATGGCAGTTAGGTTGCCAGAAGAACCAGTGCTTCTAGTGCCTATAAGCTCTTTTTTTTATTTTAACTGAGCTGACCTTCGAGGCGATCAACTTCCATATTGTTTTGCTGAGTTGAGCGATGGACAACCTAGGAATTAATGCTAATGTTGTCAGCGATTTTATGTCGAAATTTAACGCAGCGAGTGTTTGGCATGAGCCTTTTCTAATAGAACCACAATGACAGTAACTCCAACGCAGGCTGCATGAAAAGTTCGCGGACATCCGATGCAGGTCCACATTACTGTATAAACGGTAGAATCCAGCGAGCAAATTTCACAGCTCATGTTGAATACAAACAGTAAACACAAAAAAAAACGAAGCGTCGACAACAACAAAATATACCAAACGCACGTGGCCGGGAACGAATTAAAAACGCGTCTACACTGACTGAAAACTGAAAATACAGGAAGAAGATTTTTAATAAGATTTTTAAAGAAGATTCTAAAAGAAGCATCTTTTAGAAGCTCATTCTGAAACTGCAAGCACATATTTTGCTATGAGCACAATGATATATATTTTTTGTTTCCATTTCCGTTTTTAGCTAGATAGAATTGTTCGTGTGACATCAACTTTAGTTAAGACAACATAAGTCGGATGAAGATAAATTAATAAATAGGTTACGGCGGTATGTAGGAATTAAATTCATAGTAACACCTTTCCCGGTGTAAAATTTAATTAGTATAGAATTGAAGTTCCTCAATGGGTTTCCAATTTACCCATGATGCTATTAGCACTGTAGTGCAGTTTGATATTCTATATCATGGTATAACGCGTGCTTAATTTTGCATACATTTTAAATGATATAGGTATACTCTAATAGTGGTAGTTGTATACCACGAATTCGCATTCGCGTGGAAAATCGAAACCGTATTCGAGTGCAACTGGTGAAACTATGTATCAAATTGGAAACACAGGCAGCTTTTGGAAGAACAATATGATGGAGTGTGGTTGCACGAAAATTAGAACCTTATTTGCAAATGGACTTCAGTGGAGAAATTTTACCATGAACTGTTGTGGCTATTTGTACTGGTAATGGATTCGTGGGTGCCGTATAGAAATATGCAATTAAACATAACATAGCCTAGCAACAGCAACATTGCGTAGATCTGCGTTACCTGTAGTGAGAATGTACATATTGCCGAGCCCGCAATGGCATTGGTTGATGTTGTGAATACGGTGTAGATGAGTTTGGAGTTGGCGTTACCATAGCGCCCTTCGACCAGGCTGCTGGTGGATTCTGCAAATAGATATGTGAAAAGTATTGATTAAATTAAATCTGCTTGAATGTTGGGAGATTAAGCTTTCAATTTGAAGGTGTTGCTGATAGTTATTTGATGGATAATGTATGTACCGATTGCTTTTAAATTTTATGTACAATAAGTTTAGTGGCAGTTCAATTGCTGATAATATTTTTTCATAATAGGAATTATTTTCTAGCAGAGTTGTTCATTCATACAGTATATACCTACAACAAGTTTAGCTCTTCCCAGTTCGCAATTTTCCTGTTTTTCTGTTACTGCTAGTTATGCAAATTAGTATTTTTATACGATTTGTTTAATTGTTGGTACTAATCATTTCCCCATCAAATGCAGATCGCGCACGGGCAGAACTTTTCTTACATTGTGTTTACGGATGTAGGTACATATGTATAAAAGATAGCGGTTTTGTCCGTCCTGCCATGGCGGAAGCAGATGAACTATTGATTGATTTAATTTCTGTTTATTTGCAATATAACAGTAGGCATGATAACACTATGCTAGCGGCACTTGTGTGTTGATATGAAGGGTAGTTAGTAACTACTAGTTACTCATATTCCTGACGCACAAACAAATGTATTTGAAATTTTCCATCCCTTGAGAAATTACGCCAAAAACAGAACACTCAAAAGATTTTCAACCCTAAATAGATTAAAAGCTACGCTAAATCGCAACTCTCCTAACCGACGCAAGAAATGGGAAAAAAATGAAAGTGGAGACCAATTGGAACAACACTCTCATTGCTAGGCAGTCGAAACGGTTTATTAATCCGAGCATTTCAATGACTAGCAAAATTCTTGAACTATCAAAGAAAGATCTCAGTATGTACTCTGGTTTAATAACAGGGCACTGTGCATGTAAATATCACTTGAAGCTAATAGGAAAACTTCAAGATGAGATGTGTCGATTATGTGGCATAGAAAAAGAAGACTCTGAACACCTGCTATGCTCTTGTACAGCAATCTTCAATAAGAAGCGTATTTTTCTGGATAAGGGGCTGACAGAACCCTTTGATATTTGGAATTCAGTTCCCAGCCAAGTAGTGCAATTCATTCGTAATGTAATACCTGACTGGGAAAATGCTTTCAGTCAGTCTATGTCGGTCGCTTCATAAAATGGTGATACGACATGCTGATAAAGCAATATTAAAACGGGGAATATATCACAATAGATCTAAGTACTGGTCGCAGTGATCAAAATACCCAACACGGAAAAAAAAGAAAAAAAAAACCGACACAGCATGTTATATACCAATGGAAAAGTACGATTAAGGTGTCAAGGGGCAAAAAGCGTAATTTTGGGATTTTTTTTCTGGGAAAGCTGACGGTGAATAGGGAAATCATCTACGGAGTTGCAAAATCTTAGGCAAACTTGTTCAAGTGACACGATTTTCTGACGGTAGACAAATTAGTTCACAACTTTCAGCGCAAGTTTGAATATGAGCTTTCAGTAAGGTAGGGCAAGTTTAAAGGCGGGGTAAGTTGAAACTGATGGCGTTACTATTAGCGGAAGTGAATAGTCACTATGATTATTTTTAACAGTTTACTACATACGCATCTTATGACAGGTACTTACAAATAGCTTAACGTCCCCCTAAGCTTTGATTGTTTTCATTAGTTATGAAATTTGTTGGCTAAATTTAAATGAGGACCGAGGGGAAATTTGAAATGGTGAACGACACATACTCTATACAAAAAAAATATCAGTTCAATTGGTTGAACAACATCTGGGAAATAGTGGTGATTTAGTGTAAAAAATACGATGAAAAAAACAATAGATCCTACTGTTTTTACCATAGAAAAGGGAGTTTGACTTAACTTAACCATAGATTATCGACTTTTTTCACGAAAAAACAAACCCAACAAACTATTTAGGTAAATAAAAACTTAATAAGTCTATATTTAGCTACATAAGATAATATTTGCCTGCATAAGCTGTTCTGCAGTTGAAATTGAATGTTGATTTTTCCGATCATTTTTTTTTCTAATGTCTAAAATTACGATAACATAGAAAGGTATTGGAAATACACATACAGTCTGCGGTAAGCCTATTGTGGTAATACTAAGACAATTTTACCATTGAATGGCATTTATAATAGGACTAGTTATCAGCAATATAATGTATTGTATTTTATGTTTATTTCATTGTCATTTCATGGTTATTTTTCTAGATGGACTGCATTAATCACCGCAGTCTTCGGGAGATACTTGTATTCCCACCAGAGCTTTATAAAGCCCATGAAATTTTATTATATACATAAATAAACATGTTTTAGGGAAAATTTTCAGAATTTAGTTCGTTAAACTGCTGCAAAAAAAAATCAAACATAAATTAAACAGCGTCAATTGACAAATTATTATAAGGAATGAAGGAAATGCCGAAACTGCTGTAGGCATCTTCTACCAAATTTTATCAGGAATAATTTCGGAAGAAATATCTTTGAAGAAAAAAAAACGCTTCAGAAGCACTAAAAATCCAGTCTGGTATAACCAAGTCCCCGGCAAGGTGACAGATAACCTTAGTTTCACGTACCCACTTGCAAAAAGTAGATGTCGCCACACAACATAAACAAAGGGATTGTCCTTCACCACCGCAATGGCATTTCTCTATGGGAATCTAATTTTTTGTTTCTCCATGTGTGGATGTCAAACAACAGGCAAGAATGCTATATGATAAGAGCGAATTTATTATGTTCGTGATGAAATGAAATAATCCAAATAAATTGAAACCGATTGATGGAGGTTCATTTTCTTGAATAATCAAATAACAATAAAAATACTAATTTCAAATAACAGACTGTAGTGGTAATTTTTATACGATAGATGGAGTAGATGAACGGAACTATCAACTCTACACTTTCATCTACTCCATCTATCGTATAAACATTACCACTATAGTATACACTGTATACAGTCTGTTTTTTGAAATTAGCATCTTCAACTATGTAAATCGTTTACTTCACGCAGAAGTAATACTAAAACATATAGTCAAAGTAATAAAAATACTTTGCTCTCTTTTATTTTATTTTGCTCTTGAATATAATCAGCATACAGATTTGTTATTATAGTGATGCGATAAAGGCTTGCCATGGACCTATGAATAAACAAAAGTTTACTTTCCTGTGTTTCTATATTCTTGTGTTCTTGTGTATTCTTCTGACATGCAAGACTTCTGAAACTAAACTGAAAATATTCATTAATCACCACAAACAACTTGAAAATAGAATCCTAATGAGCATTTGCATAATTTTTTTTAAACTGTCAGGACTTATTTTTAAACATGATGCAGTAAACAATCATTGATAAAATTGTGCATCGATTTTTATTTTAAAATCCGGCTAGATGAATATACCAAAAACTTTGGAAGCATGAAGAATTCTATCCGCAAAAACATACCAAATTGATTATATTTCACGGTGAGTAGCAGTTTTGCTGGGTGATGAGGAGCACTTTGTAGATCCATTTAAAATTGAAGAAATACATAAAATTAAATGAACTAAATCAAATAAGGGTCTCACAAAAAATATTCATAATGAATTTCTAAAATGAATAAATTAAAGTGATAACGTTATTCCTCATCAAACTTGAAGCCTCAAGAAACAGATGAGTCCATAAATTTGTATGTTCTATTGTTTAGTTACACAGTTATGGGCATGGTGACAATGACAACACAAATACCATGAAGAACTCTGAAAAATGTAGTGATCATATAAGTGAAATGATTGTTAATCAGAATTTTCTAGAATATCAGTTAAAATTGAGCTCTGGATTTAGTCATCAGTAATGCATTTGAAAAATTTAATTCAAAAACTGAACCTGAAATAAAGTCCTGTCCAAAAAAACTTCTTCAATTTCGTGTAAATCAAATTAAAATCTGACAATTTTATAAAAAAAAAACCAAATTAAAATCTGACAATAGTTCGGAAAAAATTGTAATCTTTTTGCATTTTTTTTTTTTCAAGAAATCCATACGACATTTTCACAACCGCAATTATTTTGCATTCCAGAATTTTCAAGGGACATTGGCGTCAATCAACTTCAAGTGCAGGATATTTTGCAGGCTTTAAAGAATTTAGACGCCTCAAAAGGTCCTGGACCTTATGGAATACCTCCACTATTTTTAAAAAGTCTAGCAATGGAACTCACTGCTCCATTATTTTGGCTTTTTAATATGTCACTGGAATCCGGAACCTTCTCAAAAATATGGAAAAGCTCATTTTTAGTATATTTTTAAATCTGGCCAGAAAGCTGACGTACGTAATTATCGTGGAATAGCCATTATCTCTTGCATTCCAAAGCTTTTTGAGGCAATTGTAAATGAAAAATTATTTCTTCAAACCAAAAATAGAATTACTGACATGTTTCTTTAAAGGACGTTCGACCTCGACAAATTTACTTGAATTTATAGACTATACATTAAATGCAATGGGTAATGAAATTCACGTAGAAGCCCTCTATATGGACTTTAGCAAGGCATTTGACCGAATTGACATACCAATGCTACTCTTCAAATTAAAAAAAAAAATGGATTGAGCCAGGACTCGTGAAATGGCTTGAATCATATTTAACTAACCGTCAACAAGTAATTAAATTCAATGGAAAGCAATTGAACCCAATTCAAGTCACTTCAGGAGTCCCCCAAGGCTCTCAATTGGGACCTCTTGATTTTATTCTGTATGCAAACGACATTTCCTTCATTCTCAAAAAAATAAAATTGCTAATATATGCCGACGCTTTCCAAAGCGCTCTTTGGAAATAAGAAATGATGAAGACATCAATATATTCCAGAGTGAAATACACATTCTTTACACCTTGTGTATTCGAACTGAATTAAAAAAATGTAACTTAATATCATTTAGCAGAAAAAAACACCTTCAAACATTTCAATTGCATTAGGAAATTAGAATGTAGAAAAATGTGAGAGAGTTAGGGATTTAGGGATTATCTTAGACTCCAAACTAATTTTCATAGACCATTGCAAT